TTCCTGGGGTCTACCCTCAGCCTTTGTTGGTGTCTGTCACTCAGAACGGCTAGCAATCCGAATACCAATGACCAGGTCTTGCTAAACCGCCTGTTTCTATTGCTCACGCGTTAGAAACCAAAGACCAAAAAGTATTAAGTCGACATCAAAAAGGAATAAAATGAAAACACACGGGGGTGGGGGGGGTATGGGTAGCCCAAGACCACAAAGGCGAACACAGCTTCTCATTCTGCCGCACTAGGAACCCTAGCTCAACCCCCACCCCGACACAGCACAGGAAGTGCACACTCGCTGGGAACCCAAGGGAGAAAACCCAACAATGGCTGGCTGGCTTAAAAACAAACACCACTGCAACTTCACTTCAAAAAGTATAGAACACACGGATCAGCACTACACACAGTTTGTCAATAGAGCCAGGCTTTGGTGGGGAGGGTGGTTATGAAGTTCCAATTGCTGGAATTCACATGAACTCACAAAAGACTGAACAAGATGGTCTCCAAGACCCCTCTTTACTTTCAGGGTCCTGCTGGCTCTGGCCCTCGTTTTCACTATCCCATATTTTTACATAATTTTAAAATATTCTGTTCTAAATAAAGCTTCAGTTGTTAATAACATTATACACAGACATTTCACTGCTTGAGAAAAAACATCTTATGAGAAAAAGAAATTAATTTCAGGATCTCCAACAAACTATAGTCCATCTATTGAAAACAGAATTCATGTAAAACTTCAAAGAAAACCTGCCATGTTTAAAAGACGACCCCCAAAAGACATTATATTATCAATTTCCACAATTTACAACTTGCCAAAAAAAAAAATTTTTTTTTATTTTTGTGATAAACTATATTCATCACAAAAGAGCAGATCCAAAGACTCAAATTTTCAGTCACACTCTAGTGCTAAGGTAACACAGATGAAGGGGTTAAACACGTGTGAAGAAAATAAATAAAAAGAGCATGGGATTTTTCCACGAACTTTCTGATGGCCTGGACTTTCGCGTGAAAACTGAGTTGCAGTCCAGCCCTGAGGGGGCTTGCACAGGAAAAGGGGTGCCCTTTCCGTGCGCCCCCCCCCCAGGAGAAGGAACCCCGGGGGAGCAGAAAAAGTCAAATGTACACGTTTCTCTCACTGCAAAATTCACCAGACAAGCAAGGAGCCAGCTGGGTGGAGGATTAATGGAAATAGTTGCTTCTCTCTAAGTTGGAGCAGTAGAAGGAAATTCTCTCCTAAACAGCAAACGGTCTAATGAGGAACAAATCCACCCAACACAAAAAAAGTTGCTGTTGTTGTTGTTTTAACTACAAGAGAATTAAGAACAAAATACATATGTATCACAATTGAGCCCCTTGAGCACGCTTTAAAAGCAAACACACTTTTCAATCTACAAAAATCGTGTAACTTCATCTTAGAAAAACTAAAAAGTACAAAGAAAACAAAACTGTTTATCGTCCTATTATCTGTGGATCAATACCCTAACCTAACATTTACTTATAGTCTTCTAATTTCTCAATGTGTGGGTATAGACTATGTCCGTATCTCTGCTATCAAACTATCTGCTTTTTAAAGTCTAGTTTTTCGTTATATTTGTGAACCGAAAAGAAAAATACTTAAAAGCAAATGTGTACTTTCCAAGTTTGCAGCTGAGGTCTGCAGAGACCCAGAGAAATAACCCCCATGCAGTCTGGCTAGACATCAGCGCGTGTCGACCTGTCGGTCCAGCCCTGTCCACCACTACCAGCCTTCAAGTGACTGAGATTGTGAGTAAGATAGCATGAACAGATGAAGAGAGCTTAATCTTTCCTGGAGTTGGAATCTCTGATTATGCATAAATTAATCGAGCTATCTGGAAATCGATGAATAATTGACTCAGCCTATGTTGGGCAGCAGATCTGTGAGGTAGTTCCCTCCACTCAGAGAGGAACAAAGTACCTCACAAAGCGCATGAGACTCATTACCACAAACTTCCTCATTTTCGGTCTTTACAAACCAACTCGACGCACTTAAAATGAGGCTGTGCTCCCCGTCTGTGCATTCCACTGCACTAAGCACAACACAGGAAGGTATCAGTCCAAAGTGAAACGCTAAGAGAGGCGGAGGACAGCGCCTTCCCAGGACAGAGAAAAAGAAAGAAGAGAAGAGCACCAATCCCCTATGCAGTCTTTCTTACCAGGGTCAGTGTTCCCGTCTGTCTGCTGCTTCGCGGTCTCAGGAGTCACCCAGAACACGTTACTTCTACTCCCCCTTTCTACTCAGCAGTACCTAACAGTGCCC